GAGCGGCCGGCACTGACCTGGCTTCTTGGCGACGGGCATGGACTCGCCGGTGATGAGGGACTCGTCGCACAGGGAGTGGCCACTGAGGACACGGCCGTCCACCGGCACCTTGGCGCCGGGCACCACCTGGCGGACACACCACAGTCAGGCCCGCCGCTGAGGACACGGCCGTCCACCGGCACCTTGGAGCCGGGCACCATCTGGCGGACACACCACAGTCAGGCCCGCTGCACACAGGCACCGCTGCAGCCGTCGTCCGACGGGCTTTCATGGTGTCAGCCGCTTGCAAATCGCATTGTCTCCTCCCAGTGACACGCAACGCGTCGTTTCATGTCTCGCCAACGAGAAGCTCCGCTGCCATCAGCGTGGTAGCATCGCTGCCGACCTTGAGGATGTCGCCGCGGTGCACCAGCTCGACGGAGATGCTGTCCTCTGTGAGCACCTCCCTGTTCTCCCCCAGCGTCACCAGCACCGCCTCAGTGGGCTGCAGCGAGATCAGCTTGGCCAGCGCCTCAGACGTCTTGCCCTGAGGGTGAGCGCGCGATGTCCGTGCATGTGGTGTTCGGGTGCACGGGGAATGGAAACCGCCGAGCAGCGTCAATGGTCGCGGATGGTGAGGAACGGATACAGCGGCTGAACGGAAGGTGCGTCCAAAAAGGACGGCGACGGCAGCGGCATCTACAATTTTATGAGATTATGTGAACGGGCAGAAAATCTGGGAGAGAACGATCACCGCATTGCATGCATGGGAGCAGCCGCCACTACCACAAACCACAGCATAACGTGATTGCAAAAATCACCTACTAATACTACAATCCACTGAAACCACAAGTATGACTACCACCAGGCGTAAATCTCATAATTCATCCCACAATCCTCCCCTACCGGTCGTCGTGCCCACTGACCACAGCATCGACGCTCCACCCTGTACAGTGCTTGACCACCACCATCGCCCCCCCCCCCCCCCCCCCCCCCTCTGACAGCCCCAGCCGCCACAACCCATGCAACGCGCGCACCCTAACAGCGCCGACCTCGCGCGGCCACCTTAGCAATGTGCTCGAGCCACCGGCCCAGCGAGACGAACACCAGCAGCATCGGCGGCGGTCGTGTCGAAGAAGGTAAGCGGGCTCGCCGACTCCTGCAGCAGCATGGCCGCCACCACCACGGCCACCGAGTACACGTACGACACGGTCGTGGCCAGCATGATGAGCACGTCCATGGAGGCGGCGCCGTGGCGCAGCGACTTCACCGCCGCCACGTAGAAGTGCCGGCCGCCGATAAACTGGGGGCGAGGCGGGGCGTCAGCGCCGCACGAGCACGCCGTCAGGCACGGGGCGGCATGCGACGGGACGGAAATGGGCTCCTGTGGCAGGGAGCAGGATGCACGCATTGTGGGTGCAAGGCCGTACGGGTGCTTTATTCAGTGTCCTGCAGCAGCACTGGTCCATCAGCGTGGGCTGAAGGCCGGGAGTGTTCGACTCGGCGAGCATGTGCAAATGAAACACGCTTGGGTAGATCCAGCGCCGACGCCCAAACAAACGGCATACACGAGATGGTACCCATACGGGACGGGCCAGACACTCGAAGCCACGTAGACCCGAGCAAAAACATATTTATTTGGACTGAATGTGGATGCCTAAAACCGCCCAAGCAGATCAATATACACGAGCGCCTCCCTTCACTCCGGAGCCCACCACGAAACCGGTCAAAATCCGCCCGTCGCCGCCCGCACCCCCGGTCCAACCCAGCCGGCGAGGCCACGCGACCCCGCCCTCACCTGCACCGGCGTCGAAAGGATGAACATGAGCAGGTTCTCCATGGAGAGGCCGGGCACCACGCAGCACATGCTGCCATGGCCGAGCCGGCGCATGCGCACCATGAGAACACCATGATGAGCATGCACGGCACGCCGAAGAACAGCGACACCAGGAACGAGTTGCGCCACTTGGCGATCTCCTCGCGGTGGTCCAGGTACGACGCGCTGCCCTGCTTGCCCGAGCGGAGCGCCGCCTCGAAGCCCAGGTCCTGGCCAGAGAGGCAGACAAAGCCGTTGCATTCTACTGCATTGCAGATACAAGCCGCGCGGTTGCGTCGTGGTGTGTTGAGAGAGGGACCCTACTGCTGCTTCAAGCGGCCACAGGCGGGCGCCGTTGGCCAGCCGGGCATAACGTCAACAAGTCCCTTGAGTTTGGACGATCATCAGGCGGCGGGGGAGCGGAGAAGGCAGCTGACGGACCGGAGCGCTCGGCGCCCCGCACACCCAGCTCGTGCCAACACAGGTCAGCCATACGTCCCGGGGCAACCCCGGGCAACACTCCACGGCCGGCTGAACACGGCCAGCACTACATCATGTCCTTCACAATGGGCGTGCAGTGCTGCTCAGCCCGTCAGCAGGACATCATAGGCGGTGGTGACACGGCGCTACGCCCCGGGACAGCACGCCACCTGCGGCCGGCTGTGCAGTCGGCACGACAAACCGACACCCCTGAAAACCTCACCATCTGTGGCGGGATTACGAACAAAGCCGAGGCAACAGGGCAGTACCGACATGTCACTCCTGACACCACTGGTGCCTCAGCACCTGCCGTTCTTACGACGGCTCGCTGCGACGCCTGTTTTGTATCGCAAAATGATTAGAAATACTCCGCGGGAATTATCGTGTTTTTAAGTAGTTCTAGATAGCTGTCGGTCTATCTTCGAACATGTCTGTACCTCAGCGCGGTGGGCCGCAGCGGGCTGTCCCTGCCCGGAGTCTCCGAAGGAACATGAGGGTAACGGACAACTGGCAAATCCGAGCGCTCACACTGAGTCGGCCCACACCACCACCCAGCCCGAGTCACTCCAGCGCCACCCAGCTCCGCTCGCCACTCGCCCTGCACTTCCAGCGGGTCGCGCACCACCGACCAATCCAGCGCCCTGCCACACTTGTCAACAGGACCCGCTGGCCGGTGCTGGCCCCGCCACCGCCCACCGCCGCCGTCGTCTCACCTCGATCGCCTGGATGATGTCTCGCGGTCCCGTCTGGCCCGGGTCGAACACGACCCGCCCGCGCTCCGTCGCCAGCGCCACCGACACGGACACCACGCCCGGCCGCCGCACCACGTTCGTCTCGATCGTGTGCACGCACGAGGCGCAGGTCATCCCGCGGATCTGCCGGCCCGGGATCAGGGGTGGTCCGGGTGACGGGGTACACATCCGGGCTGCTGCCAGCTGACGCGCGCCACGGCGGCGGGCCGGCGGCCAGCCGTAACCGAACACAAACGCTCCCAATTTGTGTCGAATCAAGGGACGGCTTTTCATGCAGCTCTCGTGCTGAATATCTTCGCTGACAGCACCTTCATCAGGGAAATGGGCTTCATCCGTGATCGGCGTTCGCCGCCAACTCAGCGCGCTCTCCCACACTCGTGCCCGTGCCCGCGCCCACGCCCACGTCCACGTCCACGCCCACGCCCATGCCCACGCCCGCGCCGCTTGGGCGTGGGCGTGGGCGTGGAAATGCCTGAAGGTATTTCAGGATGTAACCGCAATAAACTGAACTGAACTGAACTGAACTGAACTCCGTGCACGAGCGTGTGCCACCGCGTGCCGTGCCGCCACGCCGCCTACCTCGAGGTCGAGCGTGCCCTCCGGGCTGTGGTTCTCCAGCAGCTGGGCCGGGAAGCCAATGTCGGAGATCAGGCCGGCCACCTGCGAGGGCAGCAGCACGGCCGGGTCGTACTGCACCTCGGCTTTGCCAGCCAGCAGCGCCACCAGGATCGATTCCACACCTGTGGCCGCGCGGGGGGCGGTCAGCACGAGCTTCGGGCGCACCGACTACAATGGTCACACGGCGGGTCAGCATGGGAACGAGCCACTGTTTGCGCACTGGAGAGGTGGCTTCCCCTACCCTTCGACCTACGCCCAAACGGTACCACGGTGCGACTGAATGCCAACAGTGCGAAGAGAGGAACGGGAGGGGATTCCTTGAGCCGACGGACGCCCAAGCCACCAGGCTGAGCTTGTGATGCTGGCATGTTGACCCTACCGTTGCGGGGTTCCTTATTGTTCGAGAAGCCAAACACAAAACGTTGCGCCTTCCCGCACATACAACAAATTACGAGTCAAAAGTTTCGTCACTGCGCCTTCTTCAGCGCAATGTGCACACGGCCACAAGCGCACTTTATTGATTCGGTTACGCACCAGTCTCCCAACCAGCCGCACCTCATGAAACCCGACCCCACGCCCGCGCCCGCGCCCGCGCCCGCGCCCGCTCCCGGCACACAGTCGCAGCCGTACTCACCGTCCACCTTGTTCATGTGCTTCTCGATGGCGCTGACGCAGCTGGCGCACGTCATGCCGCGGATGGAGACGGTGCACGTCTCCAGCTCGTCGGCCGCCGAGCGTGTTGACTTCCCTGGACTGACGGGCGTCTTCTCCGGGCTACGGGTGGCGCTCTGCGGCGAGCGCGGCGGCTTCGGCGGCGAGCGCGGCGACTCGCCCGGCGTGCGGGCCGAGAGCAGCGCCTGCCGCGGCGGCGAGTCCGACCGGCCGTCCGGCTTGTCCTGCGCGGGTCCTGGGGACGCGCAGAGGTGTGAGACGGTCGCTGGCCATCCATGGGCCCTGGGGACGCGCAGAGGTGTCAGTCGACTGTCCACAGGCCCTGGGGACGCGCAGAGGTGTGAGGCGGCCGTCCACGGGCCCTGGGGATGCGCAGAGGTGTGAGGCGGCCGTCCACGGGCCCTGGGGACGCGCAGAGGTGTGAGGCAGCCGTCCACGGGCCCTGGGGACGAAGGGCCCACTAAGCCGTGCGACCGCCACCGGAATCGGGGGGAGTGGCCAGGATAATGTGGCTGACAGGGCAGCGACACGCAGATGGACATGAGGACGGCCCTATGTCTACTCTGACCGGTCAAGTGTAGATATGTTTGCCGACCGAAGGCACCGAACGCTGGCAGGCATACCATCTACAACAGCTGCGGGCACACGTTTCCGTAAAAAGATGTCGGAAGTTAAACAAGTAACGACAAAACTTTGCATAGTTCCCCAGCCAAACTTGATCCTTTCATGTTAGAAAATCCTTCACTGTAAAAACGAGGGTCCACATCCCAGCTCAACGACAAAGACCACTGGCTGGGAACGAACGTGGAATACACCAACCAAGCCAAGCCAAGACGAGATCGTTACCATTCCTCGATAGCACGTCAGTCATGCAGACCTGTGGAAGATCCATCCGACGGTGGCTTCACGGCGGCCCTAAACTTCCCGATGCCGTTGACGAAGTCCTCCAGCGTGCCGGGAGAAGTGACCTGCGGGTTGTAGGTGATGACGCCCTCCTTGGCCTCCAGGTCCACCTGCGGAACGAGAATGCGCGTCAATCCGAGTACCTGATCGAGCGAGGTGCCGGCGACGTCCCTTCAGAGCGAGCGGCCGCTGATGGCGGCACATCGGCGGAATGGCCAAACGCTGGCAGGTCCACACGTCATCACTGCTCGCAGACCCCTGACGGCGGTCCCGCCAGGGGGCACAGCTCGCAAGACGGGAGCACTCCCGGCACGCGGGGAGCGTCGCAACATCGACCACCGGCAGCAGCCGCTGTGGCGTCGACGTTTGGCGTGGGAACGGCCCCATCTAGACAACCCCACCACACGACCCATGACATAGAGAGGAACGAGACGGGCAGCTCCTCCTGGCCGTGACGTTCCTCTGGCGACATCGGAGAAAGACACGGTATCTGGGAGCGTGGCGGCCGGGCCGGCGTCGCGCTGCAGCCGGTCCAGGCCCCCTCCCCTCCGGCCGGCGCCACCCATATCCGTCTCGGCAGCGTCCCTCATACCGAGGAGCGCGGGCGCAGACTAGCCGGCGATATGAAGCGCAGACATTTCCATCAGCGCCGCTCAAATGGCGGCACTGGCGCGCCCGGGCATGCGACGATCACTGAGCACGTGCATCTGCGCCCAGACCACGTACGGGACAGCGGGCAGCGCCGCTCTGCCTAGAATATTTTTTGTTCGATGCTCACGACTGTCGAGCCGTGGATTCCCGGCTTTCCCGGCTGATTCATGGCGGCGGGAATTTAGTTCAGGGTCTGGTCGCGGCACTGCGACGTTACGCGAACCCCACTTACGTGTTTTGAAGTATCCCAGCAACGCGCGGTAAGTTAAGATCAGTAACGTGTTTTGTGATGATCAAACGCCCTTGTCACTCCAAGGCCAACGGCTGTGAATAATTGACGTCTGTAGGAAGGCGCTGCCGTTGGGCCGGTCAGGTCACTAGGGGTTATATTTGTTGCGCTGCTTGAAGCTGGACTCGCCAGCAAGTGGCCTGGCTCGTCATTACGGAACGCTAATGGAACAATCCAATGTGCTTGAACAATGATCAGACTACGCATGAGGAAACGGGTTCTTAGGTCTCTAATTGCATCCAGTGGTTCCTCTGGAACGCTCGAAAAAGTTTCTAACGTGTATGACAAAACGTTCAGGCATGATTCACGCACATTCTTAACTTTCAAATAAGGCTAGGCTCTCTATGATCTGGCGCATGACACTCCCTTCCCGGGTCATTGCGCACTTCAGTGTTGAGTCGGCACACATCGGACGCGCACAGACAGACGCCGGGCGCTGCTCCCGCCGCCGCACCTTCTCCGGACGCCACGGCGACCACCACCAGGCGCCGTCGCACCCACCTTGACGCCGAGCACCCCCGGCTGGGCGGCCACCTTGCCCTCGATGTTCCGCACGCACGACTGGCAGCTCATGTTCTCGATGGCCAGGCGGCACTGCAGCTCGGCGGCCAGGCGCGCCTCGAAGCCCATCTCCTCCACCCAGTCGATCAGCTGCTGGTCGGCGAGCTCGGGCGCCACCTCCAGCCAGCCGCGCGCCGCCGCCAGGTCAACGCGCACGGCGCGCACGCCCGGCCGGCCGCCGACCGTCGCCTCGATGTTGCGCACACACGACTGGCACGTCATGCCGCCGATGTCGAGCACGACTGTGCGCGAGGCTCCGTCGCCCGCGCCGTCGCCGCCGCCGCCGGCCGCCGCCGGCAGCGACGCGTCGAAGCCCATGTCGTCGATCATGTCACTGTCGGGAGAGGGAGGCGGGCGTCAGGAGAGCGCCGGCGGCGGCGGTGTGACAGTCCGGGGTCGTTGCAGCATGGAGAGAGCGATGTTAATGGGGAATACTGGCGATGAGCAGCAGCACCCGGCGCTGCTGTACGGTACACCCGCGCCCCCGGCCGTTGATCCCGGCCGCTGCCCCCGGCCGGTGTCAAGGGCTGTTGTCGCCAGCTCCGCCATCGCCGCGCCCGTTCTGCAGGCACGACAAGGCGAACCCGTCCGGCGGCCAGCGCACCGCTGCAGACAGAGGCAGCCGGGGACGGCAGGCGTCGCTCGTCCCGTCCCGACTGCAGCCGGGCCGGGATCACCGGCTCCCGGCCGGCTGCTGAACCTCACCGACGCTGGGGTGCAGGTCACTCAGCGGGCAACGACATGCCACAGCACTGCCGCGAAGGTCAGTCCGGACGCCTCGTGGACGGGCCGGCCTGATACCGACATTCAAGGATGATGATCTATTAGAACAATAGCAAAAAAAACGTATGATCGTTGCCTATACTACGCAACGCCCGGCAAGGCATGCCTGTATGAACCGCCAAGTAACCAAGTACCTGAAGCGGCCGTAAGTCCAAACTATCGTCAGATCGCCATCGCCTGTACACGATCGATTTCCGGGTAATTTTGTCCCTCTACGTCACAGGAAGGTATGACGATAAGAAGATGCCGTGCGTTGGTAACCGGCTTTGCAGTCTAAATTACAAAGGAAACGTTCACGACTTAAATGCGGTCTACTTTACACAGTCCCTACAGCCGACTCGTGCCTGACCCACGGAGGGAGCAGCCGAGCCTGGAATCAGCAAAACTCCAACCGAGTCAGAATGGAACGACTTCCTTCCGTCAGACCGAGTGGGATTCAGTCCGCCGTATTTGCTTGAAACCAGCCCATCGCCATGCGACTCAGCTGGAGCGGGTTCGAGCACGAGCCTGCCGCGCGTCTCCTGTGCAATGACACCCCGATTTGAAGCAGACCCGCCACGGGCAAATGAAACAGCAGCAACCATGCTCTCATTTAATCACATGTAACCGTTACCGCCAATGGTGATGTACGTTCTCAGTCCGCTCTTTTAGTGACTATGTGGCCCGTCCAATACGCAGTGTAAACGGGAATAACACCACTTAGTTCGAAAACGAGTATTTTTCGCGCCGACGCAGCTGCATGCCCTCCATCTTGGACCTGACCAGGAAGTTGTGACGCGCGTGGGGCAGGCCATGGGAAATAGCACTGAAAACCCGTGGACCATGACTCAACAGCATGGAGAGCGTCATTCAACGACTTGAAATAATCGAGCATTTCGTAAGGAGGCAGCGATGAGGAGCAGCTTTGCTCCACTGGTGGCAGGCCAAGATGATGGCGCCAATAATGCAAGAACCGTTGTGCGTGGCTCAGTACAACATCTAAGTAAAAACATATGCTGATTAGCGCTGTTGGACCAACTGACATGTCTGAGAGTCACCCAGTTTAATTGTACTTTCGAATGGTCGAACCGATCCTCACTCTGTGTTAGATCGCTCAGAGCTTTCAACGAACTGGCCAGGCGCTGGTACGCGGACCCCGTCTTAAGCCAATATGCAGCACCCTCAGAAACCGGTCACGGAGAGGAAATCCCAGGCTCCGGGACACGAAGCTGGCCGGCTTTACCAGTCCAGCAGGCCGGCCCGCTCGCGGCCAAGCAGACGAGTCAGCCCCGTACGGCGTCTGGATGCAGGCAGCCGCAGAGCCCTCACACGACGGCTGAGACCAACCACAAGACCGCTGGGAACCGAGCCATCTGCTCACTATCCGCTCATGCAGTGTCGTCCGACAACGGCGCCCGTGTCGTCCGACAACGCCACTCGTGTCGCCCGATAGCAGCGTCCGTGTCATTCGACAACGGCACCCGTGTCGTCCGACAGCGGCGCCCGTGTCGTCCGACAACGGTGCCTGTGTCGTCCGACAGCGGCGCCCGTGTCGTCCGACAACAGTGCCCGTGTCGTTCGACAACAGTGCCCGTGTCGTCCGACAACGGCGCCCGGTCGTCCGACAATGGCGCCCGTGTCGTCTGATAACGGCGCCCGTGTCATCCGACAACGGCGGCCGCGTCAGCCGACGGTGGCGTCCGTGTCGTCCCGACAGCGCCGCAGCCTCACCTGGTCGGCCGCAGCCGCACGTATTTGGAGCGCACCATCGCGCCGCGTCACCTCCCCGCGCCCAACAACGGTACACTGACGCCGCGTGCAGACGGAGCGAGCCGCTGCCACCGTCGCCGCCGGCCGGGCGTGACGCGCCGCTGCTCCGGCAGCCGACTGGCTGCACGTGACGGCGGCCGGCCGGGCCGGCGCGGTCGCCGCCTCCCGCCTCCCGGCCCTTATCAGTGCGGCTCGGAGATACGGTGCTGATGTGGTCACGGCTGGGCGAGGGAAACTGGCAAAACCTTCAGAGGATGCGACATTTTAGGGGGACTGTGCGAATGAGGTTTTATCAGTCGCGCTCGACACATGCGCTGCGATGCATACGGGGGTGGATATGTGACGGGCAAACAAACGGCCGACTAGACGAACCACTCGAGCAACGTTAAGGAAAGAGATGTGACAAACATTACGTAAGCCAACACGTACACCGCTACACGAACAGCTTAAAACTGCAACGACAATATAGTGACTTCCGGAGGCGGATGCACGCGTTGCATCATTCCCTACTGACATTTCGCACGAAGCCAGCTGACACTTCGCGCCAGGCCGCCTGACGCTCCGCACCATACAAGCCGATGCGCGGCGTTGGTTTGCCGCGGGCGGTACGTCACCCCCACACATCACTCAACGTAAATCGGCGCGCCGGGCTGCGCAGGCTGATGCAACGCTCAACTCGGCTCAGCCCAGCTCAGCTCAGCTCGGCTCGGCTCGGCTCGGCTCGGCTCGGCTCGGCTCGGCTCGGCTCGGCTCGGCTCAGCTCAGCTCAGCTCAGCTCAGCTCAGCTCAGCTCAGCTCAGCTCAGCTCAGCTCAGCTCAGCTCAGCTCAGCTCATCTCAGCTCAGTTCAGTTCAGCTCGGCTCAGCTCAGCTCAGCTCAGCTCAGCTCATCTCAGCTCAGCTCAGCTCAGCTCAGCTCAGCTCGGCTCAGCTCAGCTCAGCTCAGCTCCGCTCAGCTCAACTCCGGTAACGCTCGCCCCCTCCCGCTGAACCCCCACCGACCGCCGTGAGGGCCAAGCTTTACTAGATATCAAACACCTTTGGTAGTTACCGTTATTCAGGGAAGCGAACCAGTCCTCGATAAAGCACTGAGTCCAGTTTCGTTGACAGCTAAAAGGACTTCAAATATGCACAGCGACAGAGGAAATTTCAGCGCTCATTTCATTCATTACTTTATGAATCATTGGGTTATCAGCCCAGCTCTTAATGGTACGTTCAGGTTCCAACCTTGGCGTTGCTGTGGTTACAAGTCAGGGTCATTGAGGTAAGACAGCCCTCAGCAATTTTTGGAAGTATTGGATTTTAATTATTCTGGTTTGTATATATATATATATATATATATATATATATATATATATATATATATATATATATATATCTATATCTATATCTATATCTATATCTATATATATATACATACATATATATATATACATATATATATATATATATATATATATATATATATATATATATATAAATATATATATATATATATAGATATCACGGAATAGCTCTTTTCTTTAGAAAAGCCCACATGCTTTTTAGGAGGCATCCTAAATATCGTTTTCTGCACGCGTATTAGCGAAGTCCCACGAAAGCTGTCACACTTCTCTGTTCATCCGGCATTCAGAATCCTTAACAGCCACACAAGCTTTAATAGCGTACATGTCCCCTATGAGAAAAAAAAAACATCAACACAATGAGCGTTAAACTACGTGCGTAACATTCTCTAGTGAAGAACGCTGGACTACAAGCTTCAAATACCTGCACAAAGGTAAGTGCATACAAGCTAAAGTCACTATCAATATTGCAACGGCGGCTCTCCCTTCTTCGCTTCCTCTTGCTCTTAAACTCCGACATCAACATTAGCCCAATCTGACTTCCTCAGCAGCGCCCGGCCAGGACAGCCTGGCGGAGGCCGCCAGCCAGCCCGCTCGGCGCCGTACCTGTGGGCGCCGTAGCTGACCGGCCGGTCCGTCAGCAGGGCGGCGCGGTCCCCGCGGGCCCGCCGGCCCCTTCCGCGGGTCATCGGGACCCCACTCCGCCGCCGCCGCTGCCGGCGAATCGTCAACACCGACTAAGGGCGCGAGCGGGCAGCGTCGGCGGCGGCGAAGGGCCGCGCTCCGTCGCGACCCCCGGAGGTCGTGCAGCCATCGATCGACACCAGCACAAGGCGACGACCGCCGACAGCTGTCCGCGTCACTTTCTCGCGTGGAAGAAACGTCAGCGTTCGCGCCACTTCCTTGCGCAGACGGAACGTCATTGTCCGCGTCACTCTCTCGCGCGAGGGGCACGTCAGTGTCCGCGCCATTCTCTCGTGCGGACGGCACGTCAGTGTCCGCGCTACCGTTTCGCGCGGACGTCACGCTAGTGTGCGCATTACTCTCTTGTGCGCACGGAACGTCAGTGTCCGCGTCACTCTCTCGTGAGGGCGGCACGTCAGTGTCCGCCTCACTCTCTTGCGCGGACGGCACGTCAGTATCCGCCTCACTCTCTTGCGTGGACGGCACGTCAGTGTCCGCGCCACTCTCTCGTGCGGGCGGCACGTCAGTGTCCGTAACATTCTTGCACGGACGGCACGTCAGTATCCGCGTCACTCTCTTGCGTGGACGGCACGTCAGTGTCCGCGTCACTCTCTCGCGCGGACGTCACGCCAGTTCCCAAGTTGCGGCACGCTGACCCGCGTTCCGCGATGTGTAGGAGCGGCATACCGATTGTTGCAAACCAACTGACCAGATGTCTGTCTGCATGTTACGAAACATCAGTTTTCACCGTGTGGAATGTCAGTGCATGGTGGAAACGTTAGTTTGCACGGTGTCGGTGGGCTAAGTACGACACCTAAGATGTCCCAAGGTCAGAGGAGCGGCACAATAGACCACAAAACGCATGAAAAACTCGTACTAGTGTATGATAAGACATACAAAGCTTGCGAATTCCCGGTGAAAAAAGCAAGCAAAAATGATCGCAAAAACTCACAAACGGCACATCCGATCGTTTCGCAGGCTTTCTAAACCGCAGGCTGACGGCACCACGACGTTAGACAGACCGTCAATTTTCAACTTCATGGAGCTTGCCTGCGCATACGCACCGCTCATATTCGTTGCGGGATTCATTTCTTCGCGCATTCTTTGTTCTGGTTTAAATTTTTACAAGCGAGTGCCTTATGCGATGGCAGCTCAGCTGAAGGCCCCAGTGTGGCAAAAGACACAAACTGCACCCGTGCAGCATAGGCATCGCGTTGCACGTTTGGAAACTTTACACCTGGGTCTGGTGTACGTCTGCCCTGGTACAGGTGCTCTGCTGTGCCCCACAGCGATTCACACGCGCCGGTGCGTTTAATTAAACCCGGCCGTAGAAAGTACGCGTGGACTGGTGTTTCAGAGACTCAGACGCTTCATTTTGCCAGCGCATGCCGGACGCTTTCTCGGTCCCGTTTGAGCACACTGGGGCAGTAAATAAGGGCACACACCGTAGTGTAATCAAAGGAAGTGCCACCATTCATTGCTCTAATAATTTGTTTGTGATGTCGCGATTACGTTGTACATCGTCGGATTGAAGTGACCGTCCATCGTTTTGCTGTCCTGCCACTTGCAGGACAGCATGAGACACGCAGGTGTGGTCACTTAGAGGGAATGCTTCACTTTTGAGGACATTGAAGCAAGGATCTGTAGTCGGTGTACCGTTTGCATTTCTAGTTTGATTTAGTGCTCTCTTCTCGTTTGTTGAGTCACTAAGTTTGTTACTATCTTGAGGTCTAATTTAGTGTTATTCAATCCATGCTATTTTTGTATTAATTTTGTATTGCTAATTTTAGTCTCCGTTCTGTCTGTTTCCGCCCTGTTTAGTTCTAGGTCTGTCTGTCCGTTTCCGAGGTTTCGTTGTTTCCCTGTCAGCGTCCACGAGGAGTCGAGGCGCGGTGTTGGCGACGGGCGGTCATGGAATATAGTGCACCTGGAACCTCGGTGTCTTCGACGTGGCGGCCGTCCACACATCAGATATGATAAAACCAGCCTACTTCTAATTATCGGTAACTAATTATCTAACAATTTTTTAAAGTGAAAGATTGTTCTAGATCGCACCATTCTTTGTTTAGTTGTTTAGTAAATATGCCCCTCAATGCGTCATGGTTTGATTGCGTCATCGCACCTTACGCAACACTTATTGAGAGCCAATTGATGGCCGTTATATCTGGAAATCGCGCTCACGAATGCCAGGTATGAATATCTCGACAATTATTTTATGCATGGCCTTGATCGTCGCATGGCTTATGAAATGGCAGGATTTGAATGACTTGAATGACTTTGAATCATGACGTCGTGAATACCAACGTGACTGAAATACTCTCCCCGATATACTCTTCCCATTTTTGCAGGCGTGTAGCCCAGAAACTAAAAGGCAAAATTGTGAAAAACACCGAAAGTTTTCCTGATGGCTATTCAGTTCAAACCTCCATATAAATGTAGAACACTACCTTTAACCATAAAACCTTAAACGTTAAAATATTAAATATAAATCTTAAACGTTAACCATAAACTCCTAAGCGTGACCTTAGCATAAAATCTTACACCACCATGCCACCCACCCGTGACACTATAATGATTGTAATCAGCCGAATAACGTGTCGTGGTCCATTAGCTAATGGATTAATGTAGCGGGGCTCGTAAAGCTGCACACCGACAGAAAACAACAGCTTTCGTTGATCTAGTTTTAATTTGTGCAAACGCAACTACGAACGAACAACACTAGAACAATCAGTGATTGTCCGCAAAGCTGTTTATCATGGCCTACGGTACAGACTTGGCCGGAGCCAGACCCAACGAAGGAGCCTGGTGGCGCGGTCCCATCGTGCCGGCGCAGCGGGGCGGCGTGAGACCGGCGACAGGGCCACATGGGACGAGCCAGGTGACGGCCCCTCTGTAAACGCCGCACCGGCTGCACCCGACACTGCGTCTGCCGACGCCGGGCGCTCGTGAACGGTCGTGTCGGGCGCAAAAATCGACGTTGAATGCCGCGGAGACTCGCCAGGACACCCGTGCACACGGCACACAAACGACAGCATAGCCGGGTGCAGGCAGGCGTTACTGGCAGCGGCCGGATTCGCAACAGGCGGCGGGTGCACACGGCACACAGCCGACGGCGTAGCCCAGTTAAAGACGCAGGCCGACACAGCGCCTGAAGGCGTGCTGAGCGACCGGTGCACACGGTACACAACAGAGGACAGTACCGGGCGCACAGCACCGACGCTGGCAGCGTCCAGAACACCGGAAGCGATCATTGCGCCTGGCACACCGCACGGTGCCGTGCGTCAATACCAGTGCCGCCTGGGGGCGGAGACGTGCGCTGTGATCAACCGGTGCGCACGGCACGTACGATCGACGGCGACGGCGGTGCCGGGTGCAAACCCTCGGCAGACGCATGGTTGAAGGCACCCGGCGGGGACGGGCCTGACCCGAGAATCAGCTGTGGCGGCCGCGCCATTGTGACGCCGTGACGTGACGGTTTCTGAAGACCTGCCGCTGAACGCGCCGCCGCCGCCCCGCCAAGCGGAACCTGAGTGGCGGTGCGGCACTCTCCCGTCTCAGGGGCTGGCGCGCTCCAGGACACTCGCGCGTCAGCACGCCTCGACGCGGCGCGATGACTCGGACGCGGAGAGGCCCACCAGCTGTGTGAACGTGCACAGGAGCGGACGGCGCCAATCGCGAACGATGGGAAATTGCTCCGCGATGGTTACCGTGGGTTGTGGATACAGTTCGAATGCACCAATGCAGCAATGGAGCACTACGACCTGCACTCGATCAATCCACGACATGCGGGTATTGTTCGATCCCTTCAGATGACGCCGCCGCCATCTAAAACGGCGCTCGTTCCCGGACCAATTGTGGCGTTTGTGAGCGTTACCAAAGCAGTAACTGTTTCGTGTGTCAACGCGAACACGTCACAAACTGCGTCGAGTATGCAATCTGTGACGTGTTCGTAAGGTATACCCAATTTCAATACCGGAGAAGTCACTCTCGCTCATAAAAGTGAAGAACATAGCGTCCGGACGCCAGGGGCCCCGGGCACGGACTCCCCACAATGGCAGACAATGTGGCCTCATTCGTAAGAGCCAGATGCAGCAGATACAACACACAGGGCAGCAGCATGGTAAGGAGTGGGTTCAAAGCATGACGCCGGCGTCCTTGCCACCCATCCCGGCCTTCCCGTCGCCACATCATGCGGCTGGCTGCCCACGTAGCCCACACCACAACATCTAATCCATCAGCAGCCGTCTGTGGACACTCTCGCGCGGCCGACGGCTACAGTACCGCTGCGGTATGCCCTCTGTCCACACAGGTGCTGATACGCGACACCACCGACGGGTCAAAGGTCACGGTGACGAGGGCGATCGCTATCACAGCCCAGGTCACCAGCCGATACGTGGAAACTCCAGTGGCCGGAACCCAGCCCGGAGAGCGTTTTCACAGCGGAACTGCGCGGCAGTGAAAACACAACATCCGCTGGCAGAGGCCGGTGTGGCGCAGAAGTCTCTCGCCCCCTCGTGGGAAGCCAGCTGACCAGGCACAGTCAGGCGCAAGCGCGACAAAACGAAATGTCCGTCTGTTCACAACTATTTAATTTTGTCCCGGAACCACCGCGTCAGAGTGGTGTTGTTATGGGTGAAATGTCTTTTACTTCAGGCACTGAGAGCACAAATTCGTGCAAAAGCTGACCCTGGTCCGTGATCCGACATGTTAAGGGAGCGCATGATCTTTTTATCGATATGATCCCGCCCAGCTTCACTTATTGGCTGTTCATTGCTTCGACAGGTTTGCCTATTCAGCGCCTGGTCCAAACCAGTGAAAAGAAATGACGCGTTCTGGGGATGATCACGGGCCACACGGACCCAGGTATCATCTGACGAGAAGCGCGCTACACGACTAAAAAACGAGGATTGAATATCACCAGCAAGGTTATCGGCGGATCAGAGGCCAGCGGCGCCGCCAGTACTCACCAGATGCCTTGCGGTGAGGTCAGCTGCGGGTCGAAGGTCACGGTGGCGCTCTCGTCCGGCAGCGAGACGACGATGGAGTGGATGCCGGCGTTGTCGCCGACCGTCGTCTCGATGTTGCGCACGCAAGACTGGCAGGTCATGCCTGGAATGGACCGAGCTGCGCTTCAGACATGCTTTCACGCCCGACCCGGCGGCCGCTCGATACAGGCAGGGACGGGTGGGATGTAGGTGAAGCGGTGAGCACGGCTTAACACCGGCGCGCATACGCGCTCAGAGGTAGGCGGACAACCAGGTACAAATGGATACCGGAAATCTCACGGGAGAACGTATCAGTTGTGATCTATTATAGTGAGTGACTGAGTGTCTCATATATATATATATATATATATATATATATATATATATATATATATATATATATATACCACGAAAATACGCGGGAGAGATTCGAGCCCAGACTTCGCCACCACTATCCAGTAAAAACGAACAATGGACATGCACCGAGAACTAGCCAGAAGAAAACAATTTGCACATCAAATTACTCCAGCACATTGCTTGACAAAAGATCGTACATGAAACCGAGCGCACGAAACTGGGATGGTACGATGCGGAGTTGATGACCACTGGTTCCGTGGCTGGCTTGAGGACCGCTCACAGCGTGTCGTTGGTTGTGAAACGCTGCATTCCATCAACCTGCCCTCTTTTGTTCGCCGTGGTCAAGTCATCGTGCATGCCGACGGTACGCAGTTCTTCGACGCGGATACTCAAGCCAATGTCGGCGACCTTCGGGTACGGAAGGAAACAATGCTGAGCATTGCGCGTGACTAGTTTACTCAAAATTGTCTGAAAAATAGTCCTAGTAAGACTGAGCCCCTCCCATAAAACTTCCTCGACTTTATCATAGCAAAATTGTATTTCCGCTTTGGAAACGCAAAATTACCACCTGATGTAGCGCGGGTTCTTGGTGTCACTTTTAACTTCAACTCAAATTGGAAACGATCAACAAATGCACATGTAATTGCAACATGCTGCGACAATGTTCTACCGGGCCACGCGAGATTGTGCCACCATGTACCATCTGAAACAAAAAGCTATAAATGAAGGGCTTGATCACCCACACGTTAGATGTCTCGTTTGTCTCATTATGGGGTGATTGCGCACAAACAAAAAACCACAGGATTCAACACAAAGACTCAATTTTGACGCCAGAATCATAACTGGGCTCTGACGATCACAACACATAACTATCGCACTGAAAACACACCCGCGTCTAAAAAAGTGGCCTAGCTTTTGACCGAGCGCGGCCTATCAGCTCTCGACCGTCTCCTGATGTCGCAAAGCACACCGGATAGTTTGCGTACTTTTGTGGCGTCGAGCTCTGACGCGTTTGTTTAGGACCGCGCGGGGCTCTGAAAGCCTACCGTTAAAAATTCCACGTGTCCGTACCGAGCTCGCCCGCAGAACTTGTGTCGCCGAGCCACTTGTGCCTGGAGTGGTTTAACGACAAATGTTACCGCCGTGCCATCGGCTAAGCCTTCCGCGCACCAGTCCTCACCTGGCTACAGCCAATTCATGAGAATCCTACGGCTTAGCTGAAAACTTTTTGCAGACTTACGGACAGTACAAATATTTCTATCGTCTCAATGCTCCTGTGGCAGTGAATAATAGTACTGATAGAGGATCGGGGGAACCATAAAGTAGCGATTTCTACGACTAACGGCACGCGCAAGACTGTTGATTCGCAATATGTAAGATCTCATTTCGCGTGCTCCGGCATGGCGGTTGATCAGCTGCGTAAGTCAGCTGATCATCCCGCGGCATGTCAGTAGCATCCCAGCGCGGACCCAGAGGCGACTGGCTAGCCTCCACACAACCACCCGGTGTACAGGAGCGACGCTGTACCGCACTTGCACACGCCGCACGGACACGACACGCGTCCTCGAGATAGCGGACCGTGCGTCAATCCGCTGACTGAACTTTGACGCCGCCACTCTGCGTCGGCCCGCCGGTCAGCCCTGACACGAGCCCAGGGCTGATGTCGCCTGTCGTTCCTCGACAGACAGGTGGCACGACCCGCGGCGGCGGACAAAGACCTTCACGCGCGACGGGCCAGACGCAGCTGTTCACGGGGGTGACGAGACCCCGGTGGAGAGGTTACAGTTGTGACGTCACCACCAAATGCGTGTCACGAATCTACCGCAACCTACTTGGGGGTGCACGAGGTAACTGTCCTTGAAACTTGGGGGTACACGAGGATAAAACATATTTCAATTAACTTAAATCCCACGCCACTCAACTGAAGCTACGCGCAATAGTAAGGCATCCAATCCAAGACAGGGTAATATGAAAAGAAAATATGTTACGCAACCCCAAAACATCACACAGGCATACACTGGGCCCTAAAAAAGCTGATTTAGCGGCAAACCAGAGTAATGAGGATTAAGGGGTACCACCAGAAATCCGTAATATAAGTTTTACACTTGATGGCATCACTTAAACTACAAACATCTGCATTTTGTTTTCATCCAAACGAAATGTATAGGCTCCGAGCATGAAACAACACTGCTGGGGACAACAGTTAAGAGCCCGGTCAGCCCTTCTCCGGGCATACCCGACGGCGACTGCGGCTGCACCGGTGTCGTACCTTTGATGCTGATGGTGGCAGTCATCTCGGGCGGTTCCAAGTCCACGAGCTGGGTCATCATCGTGCCCGCTCCGCCTCTGCCCGACGGCGTCATCCTGGCCGTCCCGTTGACGTCACACGCGCGTCACGTCACTCCGTCGTCCGTGACGGCCGTCTCCGTCCGGGGCCGCCGCGACCGCGCACGGCCAGGTAGCCGCCCCACGGTCGCCACCCACCAGGCACGGAGCCTGCCCGGCACTTGACAGCCGGCCGGCCGGATGCCGCCCGCCGCACCGGCAGGCCGGAGTTCGCTATGACGTCACTCACGCGCCGCGGCCGGCGGCTGCTGCCCGGCGCGACGCCGGTACACCTGTCGATGAATTGGCGGTCCGTCAGCGACCTGCCGGCTGACCTTGCCCGGACGCCGGTCGCCGCGACCCACCCGGGATAGGGTCAACCGCCGGCCGGCCAATGACCTCACGGGTTACGGCGAAGGTCGGCGGTGTCGCGACAGCTCTCGCTTGCTAATGGGACCACCAGGGGACAGGGGGACATGTTTCCAAAAATCGCTCAAAATGGGGGTTTGTCCCCCGTTCTATTATGTCTTCAAAATGCACTTTTTCATGTTTTCCTATTGAAAATGCCATTTCCAGACCAGGTTGCCTCTCACCCCAAGTTCCGGTTTGACTTCCTTATCCTGGTCTGTCGCCTCCCCGATCTCAGAGACGTGGCTACACCCATGACTGACAAGATAGCGCCCATTTGAGAGGCTCAAGGCTGCACGGTGCAGAATCAGACTCAGGACCGCCTATCGGGACGGCCAAGTGCTAACCGGTGTGGCTCTCACATTTACGCCACGTGGTAACAGAGTCAAGAGGTCACTGGGTACCCTGGTAACTGATTGCTCATGGGACCAACGACGCGGATGGTGCTCGAGTGGCGCAGCTGGGTACCGCTATAGCTCGAATTCCTGAAAGTCGGCTGGGACACAGGCAGTCGTCGATCTAGCGGTGATTTATCATTTGCACCGCCTAAGGGAGCGGGTTACAAACGCATTGTACCAGCACATCTATCAGCTGTTTTTTCTTCCTGGGGGAACGGTGTTGGAGCTGGTGATTCTGTGCACACTATCATTAATCGGGACAAAGTTGATCCACAATCAACGTCACTGGTTCATCCTCTGGCGATAAGACCCTGCTTAGCCGGCCAGCAAAAGTGTCGACGTCCTTGCAGTTTCCGTGCCAGAATGCCCGTCAACCGTGCCCCCCACCCCCACCCCCATTAACGAGCAAGCCGTACTGAAAGGTGGGGTTATCGCTGTTGTCCTACACACGCAACGGGCGCTTCATCGGCGCTGGTGTCATAGATAACAGACATCACATATTCGTGCTACATACCACTCAGGGACATGAGATACCCCCGAAAGATAATGACCAATGGGAGCTGTTCTTTTTCACAAGCTCGCGTGGCACAAGGAGACCAGTACATTTCATAACTGGGTACCTATGCTTCGAATTGATTGAATTACGGGAACTTTAAGGTCTCAAACCTAAGACCCCCAAGATCTCAAATGCTTATGATACTTATGAACATGGGGAGCGCCGACATTTACGGTCCTTTGGTACCAATACCTAACATAATACGGGAGCTGGAGACACCAAACTTACAGGACGGATAGGCCTGCATGCGAACTCACTGGTGTTAAATTTTTAGGTCCCTGGGTCATGATCTTCAGTTCAAATAACGTCATACAGGGTATGGTCAAACTCCAGGTCGGTGTTCGAGGTTCCTCAGACCCCCACGTAACCACCTTAACCCTAGACATCTCTAAGCAAAAGTTCACTAGTGTTCATTCCAGCTCAGTGACTCGATTTCACCTTCAGAACGTCACAGTAATCAAAACCCTGTGATTGTCTTGATTCTTAAAATTTCAACAAGTGTCAAGGATAGCGCTTGGCGAAATGCTCCTAAACAGGTTGATCAGGGTCATTCCAGGTCAGTGACCTTGTCTGACTCTCACAACACACTTGTTGACCTCCCTGTGATAAATAAATTTGAACCTAGCATCAAAACTACCCCCACAAAGCAAGGCCTCAAGTGAAAAACACCGGTTTGGGCCTCAGCCTGACCTTCATACCTAACCCAAGGTCAATGGAATTAATGATAATTTTCATTTCTTTCCAAATGATTTATTATGCATGGTTTGCCAGTATGTGTTCAGTTCAGAACGCCTGCCTGGCTACCAGCATAGGTTTGTGTATGCCCTGATATGTATATATATATATATATATATATATATATATATATATATATATATATATCCACCACCCAAGTTATGCCATCCAGTTCAACTGACGATTTTGTCTCCACCCTTTCACCAAAGAGGAGTGTGGCGTGTTTTACATGCTGGACAGTGATGCGGCACGGCCATCTGGGCCTGGGTTGACCCTAGTTGACCAGTTGCCCACTGAACTTTCTATTGCAGTCAGGCCAAACAATGTGCATGGTTGGGAACTAGCACCCAATGCTGATGGGCAACGAGTTCAGCATCTTTCCACTGGAGCACAGAGACAGCATCTAGGAGGGGTCAATAATTAACCTCCTGAAATTTGATGAATCTGGACCAAATTCATGCAAAATTGCCAAGGATGTAATGTAAATATCTTGGTCCAAGGGGATGAGTCCCTTACCCTCCTCCCTGGCTACATCCCTGTGGCCTCTATCACAGCACCTATGCATGCTGTATCTTGTATCTCTATGAGGCAGCTCCATGGAGACTGAGCGCCCACCCCCTCCCCCTTTGACTCTGCAAGAGCAGTGGGCATCAATGATTAAGTCATTAAAAACAGCAATGTCCGTCCCGGTGGCTCAGTTGGTTAGAGCGCCTGCCTTCCGATCCACCCACCCGTGGCTGGGTGGGTTCGAGTCGCTTTAGGGCGCTCGCTATTTGCCCTTGACAGGTATGGCCTGCGGCCGGTGGCAGCGGTCGCGCTAAAGGTCAGTTGACGTCAGAGGGCAGGACGGACCGTGCCGAGCATTGCGGCACGTTAAGCTTTCGCCACTAAATTCTGCCGTTGCCTGGGATTGCGCGATCGGATGGTGGGGGTCAGAGCTCACGCGACAAGCACTGCTTAGTGTGAGTGCTGATCCCAGAAATCCATCCATTCAAAAGGGTTCGGATCAAATTTATAAAAAAGTGCAACAAGCAAAAACTAACATGTTTTTAAAAGTCTTGCATCCCTGGGTGTGCCAACAGGAAGCAGTCCCAATGTACAATCTTACATTCCCTGAAGTTCTTGTTCTTGACCACCTTAATCTTAAGGCCGGCATCATCCTGACCAGCTTGTAGGGTGGTGGCCCAGGCACATCCCTAGCTAGCAACATGCTCAAGGTGCATTTTCTGATCTCCAAAGTAGTGCATGTCTGTTACAGCTGTGGTGGCAGTAGTATTCACCCTGTCTGTATGGCAGACTGTAGCTACCACCAATCATGTGTCAGCCATTCATGGACTTGACCTCAGTTCAAGAGTAAGTGGAGTGTGTCTCCAGTGCCAAACAGTAGAATCAATTCACAACAGACTCCTGCCAGGCTTAGGTAAGGCAAAACAGACTTAACAATGTCTCAAACTGTCCACACAGCCTGATGGCTCAGCTAGTGAACACCTCAGTTGGTTAGTGCCAGCCTTCTACTGATCCATTCATGCTGTTGCCCAGGTGGATTTTAGCTGCTTTAGGGCACTGGCAATTGACCCTTGAGCGGCATGGTTCATCGCCTCACCTAAGATCATGGGGCTTCAGAGAGAAGGACAGATTGTGCCAAGCATTGCAGTTAAGCTTTTGTTACCATATTCTGCTGTTAATCTATAATTTCATGACGGGATGGCAGGGGTCAGGCCTCATGCAATAAGCACTTCTTGGGGTCAGGGTATATATTCCTACCTCATGTTAAGAAAGAGCATTGTGCATCAATCGTTGTTTTTAGGGCAGAACATGTCATAATAAATCGTAAAACAGGAACTTTGAACAGACCTTGGAACTTAAATAACTACGATAGCGAACATCCGAGCGCAAACATAGTAACCATGACCCCGGAGCCATTTGTACGCGTGATCGCAACATTACTGCGTTATCACAACATTACTGTGCATCAAGAACCATAAAAATGTATGAGGCCAAGGTAACAAGAATTCAAGAAAACATGTTTCTTGTGTATCCAAGCAGTCTTCTGTACACTGTAGCTTGGTCAACATGGTGGGGAAATATGACGTTTTTGCATGGGAATGAAAAGCAAACTGAGAATATGGTGGCTAAACAAAACTTCTTAATAGGGTACATATATATATATATATATATATATATATATATATATATATATATATATATATATATATATATATATATATGACATGGAACATGGATGCCAATGGGACACTGGGTTGAGGGGGATAGGGTGGGGGTTTGGTTAGGCTAGGGTAGGTTAGGTTAGGTTAGGTTAGGTTAGGTTAGGTTAGGTTAGGTTAGGTTAGGTTAGGTTAGATTGTTAGATTAGGCTAGGCTAGGCTAGGCTAGGCTAGGCTAGGCTAGGCTAGGCTAGGCTAGGCTAGGCTAGGTTAGGTCAGGTTAGGTTAAGTTAGGTTAGGTTAGTTTAGGTTAAGTTAGGTTAGGTTAGGTTAGGTTAGGCTAGGCTAGTTGAGTTTAGGCTATGTTCTGGACTATTCTGGCCTGTGTGTTTCACAAACGTACCTACACACGATAGGAAACGTTTTTCTTGGCATCATTATTTTTACCTTGGTCCCCTACATTTTTATGGTTCTTGATAAGCAGAAATATTGTAATTATGCAACGACAATGCAGAAACGGCGCTGGGGAGTCAAAGAGGTGGGGTGCGTGTGGCGCTCCGGAGCTCGCTATATTAAAATTTGAAGGTAGGAGCACGAATGCACCTGTTTTAAGATTATTTACCATATGTTCTGCCTTAAACACGACAAATGGTGTACAATGATTTTTTATAACGTTAGGTAGGAATGTATACCTACACCCTTCTTGGTATGAGCTTGGATCCCAAACACGTCTGCCAAATCTGCCTGCCAAATCTGCTCCAACTTAATCTTTTCAAAATAATTGAGGCACTTGATAGCTAAAATACTTGGCTGTGCCCATCTGTTCATACATTTTTTATGACCACTAGGCTAATATAAATGCTGGTGATGATCAGGCTGGTTATCACTCATCCCAAGGTGATGATTACTCATACTTACCATCAGTCCCACACTCAAAATGCTCACAAAGGATAATGAGGACCTCACAAAAAATACAAATTGGCACACATACTACCTCCAATGTCCAGCTGCACGGAAACTGGTGGGCCAGGAGGTTGACCCCCTGGCCCACCAGTTGTTGACGTCAACGCAACTGTTGACTGTTAGATAGCCTTGTTTGACCCCATGCTTCTTGAGAACCGAAAAGTAGCCTATGAGCATTACCAGAAAAAAATACTTAAAATGGCTTTCACCCGCCCTCCTCAAACCTGGCAGGACTGTGACTGCCTCTACTTACGTCGTCCAGCTGCATACACACCTGGGTACTTACTTCGTAATGCCTCCCAGAGGCTTCAGGCGTCCGCTGCTGTGTGCCTAAACACCGAAGAGACAAAACGAGCTTGTTCCCCTACCAGGCTGACGAGATTACTAGCCTTGGAGGTTACCACCGCCTCCGACGAGAAAAGTTACGAAAACTGCAGGCAAACAACAACAATCCAATGCGCAGTCACACAGCTTGCCCTCGTTCATGTTTATTTAACCCAAACATGCCAGTTTTCTGATGACGTCATTAGAACACACTATTCACTTCTTAGACCGTATTTAGAACAATGATGATGCTGAAAAGACCAGCTAAGTTCCACAATAACAGGAAAATTACCTTTTTCCTGGTTTCAGATGTCAAAACCACTTACAAATGGGCATTCAACTAAAATGTGTTTTATCTTGGCCATCTGGACTTACGGCATAGCGATTCCGCAGGATACCGATTTGGTTTGTACCAAGAAGCCCAGAAACTGCAAGTATTGTTATGTTTTTCGCATACATGGTGAAATCTTGAACCTATTTTGCCGGAAATTTCCTGCAAAAAGGTATGTTCTTGCCTTTTAACGGCCATCGACTGGAAAAAAATAATTCAAGTTAGTTTGGGGCAAAAACTTGCATGGTTGATTATCAGCCTAAGAGATGAAATACTGGAGCATGGCAGAGACGACAGTCAATGCGCAGCCCTGACATTTTCGAGGTGGGTTATTTTGTTTTTGTACACAAACGGTGGGTAGGCTCTGTCTTCGTGATGGTGAGGTGCCTTGTCGTCGCCGGTTACGTGGGTGTGTTGCCTGGTCCTTTTATCGGGTTTTAGATTCTTCTACACATTGGTGCCCGCCATTCCTGCAATGGTGAGAGACCACACTTAACTTACACCGTACACCGAACATATCTGGCGTAGCAGTGACAGCCTCAAAAATTTCAGGCATGTGCTCCGCAAATCCGAGTGTTTAGAGTTCGGTGCACGGTCGCATCAAGTTCAGCACAAAAATGGCAATATTTAAAGGAGCAAGATGCTTTAGGATTAATTTTCGTGAAAATACCCTGAAAAGCATGTCATTCAAAGAAGTTGAAAGTCCATCCCAATTTGATCAAGCATGAGTTTGTTGCATGCATGAGCAAGGCTTATGTTATATGTGTCACATAGGCGTTCAAGGCTATGATTTTTTTTGCAGACCAGGCAGGTGATGCCAATAGCTTGAGCTACTGAGAGCATCATAAGGCCATCATAAAAGCAACAGCCACCTCCATGCATTGACATGGCTCATGAGTTGACAAGCTACCAAGAATTTCACTGGTAAAACTCAGAAATGCTGCTCATACTTGGTCATAGTGATAGAAAAACTATGGCTGAGAAGGATCATTAGGCCCTTCCCATCTTTGGGATAATTTAGCACTGGCGTCAGAGTTGCATAGGAAAAAAGTCAGGTGAAACTGTGTTGGATTTGAAATCAGAGGGCCATTTGTCCGTCCTGGTAGCTCAGTTGGTTAGAGCGCCTGCCGTCCGATCCACCCACCCGTGGCGGGGTGGGTTCGAGTCGCTTTAGGGGCTCGCTATTCGTCCTTGACAGGTATGGCCTGCGGTCGGTGGCAGCGGTCGGTTAAGAGGGCAGGACGGAGGACGGACCGTGCCGAGCATTGTGGCACATTAAGCTTTCGCCACCAAATTCTGCCGGATCAAATCTTTAATAAATTTTAAAAAATTGGTCACTGCATGCCTGCATTACTTCACCATGTGCACATGCTCCCAAATTGGCATGCTGTTGACAAGTTGTCAACAACTCAGATGTTGTTAACAACCAGAAGTGTTTGGTGTGCCTCCCATCACCAGTTAACTGGTTGGATAATATCCTGGTTGGTGGGCACTTAGGATATCAGGGCCAGGTACTCCATCATCAGACATACTTCTGCAGTAGCCTAGCATGTAGGCGATCACTGTTTTATCAGACAGAACAAGTAGGTGCAAAATTTGAAATATTTCATATGATCATGACAAGGGTTTTTGAGTGACTGTGGAGCAAGGTGGTAGATACAACCTTGCATAACTGCTAGATTTGCATAACTGCTAGATGGAATTGTCAATAAATTAATATGATAACTAAAGGGATTAAGACTGATGTACCAGTACTTTATTGCTTGAATGGATGTTTATGTTTCAGTTGATGGAACTTCAAATATGTTCATGATGGCTACTAGTGGGATTTTATTCTGTAGCCTGTGGGTGAAGTACATCAGCTTCTTGCATATGTATATGCATTGATCTCCATGCAAGTTTAATTGTGTGTTACAGGTTTTGTATATGCAAACAATTTTAAGAAATGAGGTGCTTCCCTGTCAAGATGTAATCCTGCCCTTTTCAACAAAAGAAGGGCTTCTGCATTCTACTAGCTTTTTTGGACAGCACTGCAATGTGAACATCCTCCAGTCAATCTCCATCACCCCAGAAAAATGATTGACATTGTGAGCCTTCTGGAGCTAACGGATGCCGCGTGTAAGTCGGAGCTGGCCGCGTACCGCGCTGGCGAGCCGCCAGCGCCGCGACGCGTTTGTGTGACGCTGCGCCTGTGGTCGGCCGACTGTCCGGGCCTCGCGACGCCGGCCACGGCCGACTGGGCTCTCTCGCTGCGGCAGCTGGACCCGACCGACCCCGAGCCGTCCGCGCCAGCCCCCTTCACCGTCCCCGCACCTGCACCAGCCCCAGCCCCAGCCCCAGCCCCAGCTCCAACCCCAGTCTGTAACGGTCACGTGGAGGGGGATGGGCGGGCGGCGCCGCTCAGCCCCGCCTCGCCCACGGGCGTGTCGACGGCTCAGGACGCCGCGCACGCGACCAGGTCGCTGCTGGAGCACCTGCGCCGGCTGGCGGACTGGACGCGCGAGACGGGCCGCGCCGACCAGCTATACCCGGTGACGGGGTCGGCGCAGCTGGTGCTTCACCAGCTGCGCTTCCTCGAGCTGCTGCTGGGCGCTGAGGCGGCGAGCCTGCGCGATGGTCGCGCCGCCGCCGAGGGGTTGCTGCGCGAGCTGCGCGAGCAGCTGCTGGGCTGGCACCGGCAGCAGCTGGCGGCGCGGCTGCTGACCGACCCGGCGTCACAGGACTGGCAGGACCACCGCGCTGCCGACGAGGGCGGCCGCTGCTCGCACGCCGTGCAGTGGTGGTGGCTGCACCTACAGGCGTTGTGTCGCGACGCCAAACGCCATCTGTCTGCCGCGCTGGCCGACGAGCTGCTGGTTGAGCTGCTGACACTATCGCTGGGCCAGATCACCGTCCACTACGGCCAGGTGACGCTGGCGTCGGAAGAGCGCACGGCGCAGCTGCGCGTCGACCTCGTGGCCGTGCTGCTGTGCGTCTCCGAGCTAGTGCTGGCGGTGGCGACGGCACCCGAGCAGCTGTTCGCCGCTGAGGAGGACGGCTCGCCGGCCGCTCTGGTGGCCGCCCAGTGTCGTGCCCTGCTGCTTCTGCTCGGCCACCTGGCGGCGCCGCTCAAGATAGTGTACAAGCGCTGCGGCCGCGTGACGCAGCGCTTGGAGCCGGCGCCGCCCTGCTGGCTGTCGCTGGTGCGGCCGCAGCTGGTGCCGCCCGACGTGCGCGCGCCGCACCAGCTCGACACCAACGCCGCGGTGTACCTGCACGTGCGTCTGCTGGCCGCCGCCTTCCCGTCGCCCGGCTGCTGGCCGCTGCTGGTGCGTGCACTGGTCGCGCGCGACTTCACGCTGCCCGTGCTGCTGCTGGCGCACCTCGAGGAGCTGGCACAGCGAGACACCCCGCCCGCGCCTGCTGGCGACGCGCGCACTGCCTGCGGCGGCGTGATGTGCTGCGACGCGCCCGACGCCGGCTGCGCGGCGCTGGGCGCCGTCACGCCGCGTCGGCTCTTCTCGGCGTTGGTGCTGGCCGTGGCGCGCGCGGCGCCAGCGCGCCGACCGTTGGCCGCGCTGCTGGTGCCCTGCCTGGCGCGGCGCGGCGACGCCGTCTGCCCGAGGCTCTGGAACCAGCGGCGGCCGCTCTGGCTGCAGGCGCTGGTCGACCTGGTGCGGCCGCTGCTGGCCACGGCCGTGGCGGCGTTGGTCGAGGACGTGCAGGAGGGCACGCCGCAGGGCGCCGAGCCGCTGGCCGTGACGCTGCTGCAGTACGTGCGCGAGGTGGCGGCCGACCTGCCGCCGGCGTTCGCCGCGCTCGGTGATCAGGTGCCGGCCGCCGCGCCGCCGCTCGGCCTCGGCGTGCACGTGCTGCTCAGCGGGCTGTACGACCTGCTCAACGACCAGGAGGTGGTGATGGGCCTGGCGGCGCCGGGCCAGGAGCGTCGTGTTGCCGACGCGCTCGTGGCCGTCGGCGAGACGCTGTGTCGGCTGGGGCCGGGGCTGCAGCACGAGACGACCGCACTTGCCGAGGTACTCGGCCTGCTGGCCGGCTCGCCGCCGCCGCTACCGCCAGGACGCGGACGCGACCCGCCGACGCCGACGCCGACGCGCCGGCGGTCGAGCTGGCGGCGCGTGTCGCGGCCGACCACGCCGGCCGCCGCGCCCTCTGGCTGGCGGCGGCCGTGCTGCGCGAGAACGTCGACTGGCTGCGCCGCCGGCTGGGCGTGGCGCCGCCGCTGTTCGGCCAGCCGGCGGATCCGGCCGGCGGCGACCTCTCGCTGCGGCTGCGCGAGGAGGGCGCGCTGCCGGCGGCGGCTGCGCTCCGGCTGGAGCAGCGACTGCTGGCGCAGCAGCCGCTCGACTGGCGCGCGCTGCTCGGCTGCCGGCTGGGCCAGACGGAGCCGCTGGTGCGCGACCTGGTGGCCCGCCGCTGGGAGCTGCAGCCGGACGCCGTGCTCTCCGACGGCCAGGCGGAGATGGTGGAGGCGCTGCGCCGTCGTCTGCAGCTGCTGTAGCTGAAGCCGGGGGGCGCAGCTGACGCCTGCTTAAACCAGCCGACGCTCGGCGAGATGGTGTGGGGCTGTGCTCCATCGAAGTGAGGGTCGGTTGCAGTCTGCAGCTTTTTGGTGGTTCTTGTCGTTGAAGCGTTGTAGATCTACCTTTCATCACTCATATGTGTCCGTCCTCCCGTATGTATCGTAGATACTCATATGTATCCACGATAGCTGAACACATGTGTTTTATGGTCAGGCGTCGCACAGCGTAGTGTACACGTCATGCATTGTCATATTATCAGTTGTATCGTGCTGTGTGTTTGCCCGAGCTGTGACTACCGCACGGCGAAGGCTGATGTGACCATCTAGTCAGTGTTCTTGTTACCAGAGATACTGCAGATTCTGCTGGCGGCGTTTATGGTCGTGTTGCAACTCGGCTCCTGGGATTATTTTTACATCGAACGTCACGCTGCCTGAAGGTTCAACGTTCCTCAACCTGTTCGTCATTCATGTTAAGATAAGGGCGTCATCCTCCATATGCCTGCTTTCTAGTGTTTACTGGTATGCCACTCCAGCACATTCCACAGAAAAGATTGCAATGTAGCTCACGTGTGTGGTTGTCATTTATTGTACGTTTATGCCATTAGGTGTGTTTTCCGCTGTTTGATGCCTTGTGCTTTCCAAGACTCCGTCCAAAGGTCAGTTGCCAGGAGTGACAATCTCATGAAGATTACTAGTTGTTTTTAAGCATTAATAAAAATCATTCAGGAGGAAATGCAAGTTGAAGCAGTGCCGAACACATTGAAAAGGGACGAGCACGTCCGCTGCGGGAGTCGCCTTACTACCAGCTATAGGTGGCGCCACCATTGTCCGTTTTGCGCAATATTCGTTCTGTTTTCTATAGGCACCGAGCTGTTTGCGATTTGTGCTGGCGCACTGTCCAGCTACTTACCATCATTTGCACAGATGCATATCTTTAACATACGGATAAATATGTCGCCCAATTCGAGACGGGCGGGGTTTAATTTGAACGATGTGACGTGAAATGTGTACCGTCATAGCTGGTGGAATATACGCGAGCGCGGGACTAGGGCACGAGTGAAAAATTTCAAATGAGCTTTTCAACGGGGGGGTTATCGCAACACCTAATGTTCGCAACCATTATAATAGGTTTTATCAATACCTTGCGAGGAACAGGGGGCTGCAGATGAAATGGTCGTGACTATTTTTAGGCTCTTCTTTGCCTCTAGCGATCATTAAACTGCAAACTGGGCAATAATTCCACATGCATTGGGGGCACACCAGTGAGAACACCATTTTCATGTATCACTCAATCACTGAAAATTTCGAACGTCTGCAAGTATCAACATGACACTGATTCTGACGCTCCCCAGCGGGGCAGGCAATCGGGATCTTGGCACTGCCTCTGCCAATACTGCCCCCCCCCCCCTCCCACTGGCGGGTAAGTCACGTGATCACGATGTCTGGACCCGGCACTAAATAGCTTGAGGATGTGAACATGCATAGGCATTTGAATGTTACGGTGAGGCGATCATGTAGTGGGACGGTAAACAGAGCTGGCTGGGGCAGACAACAGCATTGAAAAGCCTGGGCCGATGGCTGCAAGGTTGGGTGTGATGGCTCATGCATTACCGTTACGAATATGTAAGCAGTATCAGAGTGACCCATTGGAACTATGCAGGCCGATGATAACTTACTGACTAAAACATAAAAGCAAGTTATCATGTGCTGCACAGGGCTGTTTTAACATCATGAAAGCCTTGATTTGCAAATTACATAGTCCATGTCCTTGAAGTCGGGGATTTATCCCGCGATTTTTTATGGCGAGTTCCGATTTCTCTAAAAACACGTGTTAGGGGGCAATTATGGCATAATGTCAAAAATAACGTTCATGTTTCCATATCATGTGATCTTTGAGGTCAAAGAAAAGGGAACTCCATATCACAAAAAAATCCCGGCTGATTTTAAATTTTCAGGCAGAATACGCGCCACAGAGAGAACTAGTGTCCTTCAAAAATTATTGACCTATCAAGGTCACATTTCACGGTCAAATCCACGCTCAAAAGCGAGGAACTCCACATCACCAAGAAATGACCAGCCGATTGTAACTGTTCAAGCATCAGAACATTCGCAACTAGCGTCCAGGGGTGTCAATTTTTGTAAATTATGGGGGTCCGAACCGAAGGCCCAACATTCTAGCCCCCTCCCCATTTTCTCACCGGATTTAGCCCACTTTATTTTGATCAAACGCAATGCATGCTCTTAATCCTTGTATGATTTATAAAAGTCTTTAATTTAAGCGGTATAGAAGTCATGTAGGGTTGGAACCAGGGAGCAGGCACTGGACGCACGCGTCTCTTCTGATCGGCACGTGAAGGCGCCCCTTTAGAGGTCACCCTAAGGCGCCGGTCGCGCTCCTCTATGATGGTCATGGTAGGTGGCACGCATTTTCGTCGTGGGGGACGGGGACCATAAAGGTTGGCCATGAAGGACTTAGTTTATCTTCATATTCCAGGGCTTTTCACTTAAATCTCACAAACAATTGCGTGTTTTATGGCGTCGGGTATGTGAAGTTTATGGCGACGTTTATCCGCTCAGCTGTTACGGTTTTTATCTTGTGTTGAAAGCAACCATGACTTTTTGCTATGAGAGTGGTGGAAGACGCCATTACGCAGAAGAATCAAAGGAGAAAGTCTTTGTGTTATGATCATATTTTTCCCATGTTTTTTGAAGTGTTCCAGCCAAAAACATCGGGGAGTCAAGTCAACATTGGGGGCTGTATCGTGATGTTACTGGCGTGCGCCTGAGTCCGCCCCTGCTCGCGCCGCCAGTGCTGCTGTGCCTCGGTAGGCCGA